AATGAGTGAAGGGCAGCGAAGGCAGCAGTGCTAAACAGATGGGGGGCAGCATGTTTCCCTTGCATCCCTCGCCACTCCATCTTAGTCTGTAGTGTGACCAAAATCAAAATTGTTTTGGTGACTAAAATCTTACAATTTTTCAGCTGAAAAGTGCCAAAAACTGGGGGGGGGGGAAATAATCAGTTTTCCAAGAAAAATATCAGCATATTTGAGGAGAGGAGACGCCTCTGGGAAACTTTTCATTGTCTAGAAAATCCGATTTTCTGTGCAAAAAAAGTTTTGAGGAGCAGCTTTGGACCAGCTCCGGCTTGTCACTGGAGATTGATGGAAAAGGTGAAACATCAGCAGGGGACGTGTCAGTGGTGTTCTAGCTGATGTTGACACCCAAAGCCGTTACCCCAAGGCAGTGCGATTAGTGACCCACTCCCGATGCCTTTGGCACTGATTCTCCACCCAGCAAGGTCAGAGCTTTAGATTTAACCTCCAGACACATGGGGTGTCCAGTGTGTGGCAGAGTTGAGGATGGGGCAGGGTTCCAGGTACAGGGATCCCCCAAGGAGAGCATCAGAGGGGGTGGGTTGAGGTTGTGGAGACTCCCCTTTGGGATGGGGAGATTGATCTCAGCCCAGGCCAGGGAGACGATGGGACTCTTTATATGAACCTGTTCTCACCCCAGGTGAGATCATCAGTGGAAAGAAAGTGAAGCCCCACTCCAGACCCTACATGGCCTATCTGAATATTCGACATGAAGACAGGAAGGTTCGCTGCGGAGGGTTCCTCGTGGCAAAGAACTTTGTGCTGACGGCTGCTCACTGCAATGGAGAGTAAGCGCCTCTGTGCTGGGGATGTCGGGGCAGGTCGGGGTTAGCAGGTGATGAGGGAGCTGGGAGCTCTGGTGTCATTGTGGGTTGCAGGGAAGGAGCAGTTAGTAGGAAAGGCCAGGAGACGAGAGCCCGCGGGTCTGATCTGCTCAGGGGGCGTTGACATATCTCTAGAGGCCTCTGAAAACTATGGTCCAGATCCAACGCTGGGTAAATCTATGGGGCTATGGCCATTGACATCAGCTGGGGTCTGGCCCATTGTCCAGATAGGACAGAGAGGGACTCACAGCTCCAGAACAGCTCTGCAGGCCTCTGGGGTGGGGGGAACTGGGTATTGACCTCTGTCTGGATCTAGCTGGGAGGGCTCACCTGGCTGGAGGAGAGCTGAGGGCCAGGGGATAAGGGGAATGAAGGAGTCTGGGATCACTGCCTGAGAGTCTCATGCTGCCCTGTCACCATAAGATCAGTACTTATGTCAGACCATGTGCCCATTCCCCACCTCAGTACACTACTTCCCCAATGCCTATGTATTGCTCTTGGCTTTTACAGCAAGATCACTGTGTACCTGGGAGCCCATAACATTAAACAACAGGAACAGAGCCAACAGAAAATCTCTGTGCGCCGCCGGATCCCCCATCCGCAATACAACAGAGAGACCCATAACAATGACATCATGCTGCTGCAGGTACCGCCCCCATCCCATCACTCCGCCCCCACTGACCTCACACTGCTGCAGGTACCGCCCCCATCCCATCACCCCGCCCCCTAGTATCTCCATGGACATACATTGGCTGTAGTTTCTCTCTCCTTGGAGTCTCTCTCTACCCGTCATCAGCTCTGGCCTTTTCCTTGGTGCGGCGGTGGTGGGACATGGGGAAGGTGCGTGCTTGGCTCTTCTGCCATGACTACACCCGGGGCGCCAACCGACAGAGGGATGCGGCAATAGAGCAGTTGGAATGGGAGGTCTTAGAGCTGGAGATGCATCTGGCTGCCAGCCCCGAGGATCCATCCCTCTGAAGAACATGACGGGAGAAGCAGTAGGAGCTCCAGGCCCTCAAGGACCATCAGGCCCGGGGTCTCTTTTTTCGATCCCGCATCCGCCTCCTTCAGGAGATGGATCGTGGCTCCCGCTTCTTCTACGCCCTGGAGGGAAAAAAAGAGGGGGGCCAAGAAGCACGTCACCTGCCTCCTGGCAGAGGCTGGCACCCCGCTCACGGATCCGTCGGAGATGTGCGGGAGGGCCCGGGCCTTCTACGCAGGCCTTTTCTCTCTGGTCCGACCGATCCTAACGCTTGCAGAGTGCTCTGTGACGGACTCCCGACAGTCAGCGTGGGCGACCGAGACCAGCTAGAGCTGCCTCTCACTCTGGCCGAGTTCTCGGAAGCCCTCTGCCACATGCCCACCAATAAATCTCCGGGCATGGATGGGCTGACCCTGGAGTTCTACTGCGTGTTCTGGGACGTCCTCGGCCCAGACCCAGTCACCGCCTGAGCTGAGTCCTTGCAGAGCGGGATCCTCCTTCTTTTGTGCAGGCAAGCTGTGCTCGCCTTATTGCCGAAGAAGGGGGACCTCCACGACTTACGGAATTGGCATCCCATCTCGCTCCTCAGCACGGACTACAAAATCATAGCCAAGGCCATCTCGCTGCAGGTAGGGTCCATGCTGGCAGACATGGTCCACCCAGAACAGACCTACACCGTACCGGGCAGCACCATATTCAATAATATGTATCTGGTCCAGGACCTCTTGGAGTTTGGGTTTAGGGATAGTCTGTTGTTCGCCTTCCTGTCCCTGGATCAGGAGAAAGCATTCGACAGGGTGGACCAAGAGTACCTCCTGAGCACTCTGCGAGTGTTTGGATTCGGACCTCAGTTTGTGGGTTTTCTCCAGGTGCTGTACGCTTCCGCAGAGTGTCTGGTCAGGCTCAACTGGACCCTGACTGAACCAGTCAGCTTTGGGTGAGGAGTACGGCAGGGGTGCCCCCTTTTGGGCCACCTGTATGCTCTGGCAAGCCCTTCCTCTGCCTCCTCTGCAGGAGGCTGACAGGGTTGGTGCTCTGAGAGCTGGAACTGTGGCTGGTCCTGTTGGCATACGCCGATGACATGCTCCTCATGGTCCAGGACCCAGGTGACTTGGCGCGGGTGGAGGCTTGCCAGGCCGTCTACTTGGCAGCCTCCTCCGCCCGGGTCAACTGGGTCAAGAGCTCTGGCCTGGTGGTCGGGGACAGGTGGCAGGTGAGCTCCCTCCCACCTGCGCTTCAGGCTATCCGGTGGAGCGCGGGTCCGCTGCTCTATCTCGGTGTTTACCTTTCTGCCACGCATCTGTCTCCGCTGGAAAATTGGTACGGTTTAACAGGTAGGGTGACAGAGCGGCTCCAGAAATGGACAGGACTACTCCAGTGCCTCTCCCTCTGAGGGAGGGAACTGGTGCTCAATCAACTAGTCCTGTCCATGCTCTGGTACCGACTCAACACCCTGGTCCCAGCCCCGGGCTTCCTGGCCCACCTCCGGATGGTGCTTCTGGAGTTCTTTTGGCCAGGACTGCACTGGGTCTCTGCAGGGGTCCTCCACCTGCCCCTGGAGGAGGGGGGCAGGGCCTGAAGTGTCTACACACTCAGGTCCATGTCTTCTGCCTCCAGGCACTGCAGAGGCTCCTTTATGGTGCAGGTAGTCCAGCATAAACAGTACTGGCGCACGCCTTCCTGCACCGCTTCCGAGGGCTCCGATACGACCAACAGCTCCTTTATTTCAATCTGAAAGGCCTTCCGTGAGACCTCTCCGGGCTGCCGGTCTTCTACCAGGACCTCCTCTGGACCTGGAAGCTGTTCTAGGCAACCAGGTCCACGGCGGCCACCAAGGGAGCAGATCTCCTCACGGAGCCCCTGCTACACAACCTCCAGCTCCATGTGCAGGTAGCGGAGTCCCCCTCAGTGCACCAGAGGTTGGTCCTGGCAGAAGTCACCAGAGTCGGAGACCTCCTGGACTACCACCGGGGATACTGGCTGGATCCCCTGATGCTCACTCAGCTCATGGGGCTCTCCAGGCTTCGTACTCCTCAGCGCATACTTCAGGAGGTGAGAGCCACTTTGTCGCCCGCTGCTCGGGCCTACCTTGACTGGGTCCTGCAAGAGGGCACGCCCTGCCAACCCTCCACCCCAGGCCATCTGGACCTTTTCATCAGGCCCCTGCCCCGTGGACCCAACCGGCCCCCCAGCCCCTTCACCGTGAGCCGGCTGCACGACTTGCAGCTGGTTCGTTTCCAGACCATGCCAAGGAAACACCTATACACGCTCGTGCTCCACACCCTTCACTTCCTTATCCTCGCATCCCACCCCGACACAAAGTGGCGGGACCGCCTGCCACCTCTAGAGGGAGAGAAGCCCCGGTGGGCCAGCCTATACTCTGCCCTGGTCCCGAGGCCAGCCAGGGATATCAATTGGTGGCTCTTTCATGGGGCCATGAGCACGGGCGTGTACTTGGCATGGTTTACCCCCATCCTGGACACCTGCCCCTTCTGCGGTGTGAGGGAGACTCTGGCATATGTTTACTTGGTGTGCGCCAGGTTGCAGCCCCTATACTGGCTCCTCACCAATATTATGTTGCATTTCTGGCTGCACTTTTCCCCTCACCTCCTTGTCTACGCACTCCCCATCCATGGCCCCACAAAGCCACGGGACCTCCTGGTCAACCTCCTCCTGCCCCTCCCTAAAACGGTCATCTATAAAACCAGGGAGACGAGGTTGGCCGATGGGGTCTCCTGTGACTGTGGGGCCTATTTCTGATCCTCCATCCGCTCATGCATCCGGGCAGAGTTCTTCTGGACGGCGACCGCTGGCTCTCTTGACGCATTCGAGGAGCAGTGGGCACTGTCTGGGGTTCTCTGCTCGGTGTCCCCGTCAGGTTCCCTTCATTTCATCCTTTGACTCGACTCCCGTCCCTGTTATCTCATTAGTTGTCCCCTGGAATTATTTGGTTTAAAAAAAAAATCAGCTCTGATGTTCATATTGACCCTGGTGCTTGTGTGCTCTCTTGTTTGTAGCTGGGGCGCAAGGCAAAGCTCAACAAACAGGTGAGGCTCATCCGTCTCCCCCAGGCTCATCAGCGAGTGCGACCAGGGACCATGTGCAGTGTCGCTGGCTGGGGCCGCACCAGCGCACTCAGTAAGAGGCTCCCTAATGTGCTCCGGGAGGTGGATTTGAAGGTGCTGGACGATGAGGCCTGTCTGAACTATCCTGGTGGGACATATCGTAAATATAACACCTGCACGATGATGTGTGTGGGGGACCCAAAGGAGCAGAAAGCCTCTTTCAAGGTGAAACTCCCAAGTGTCCTTCGATAAATCGTTATTATTAATGAGGCTCCTGGTGTGGCGGTTGGGCCCATAAGCAAAGATCAGAGATCAGGTCCTGCTGCTCTAAGTGCTGTACAAACCAATGGGAAAATATCTGATCCTCTCTCGGGGGGGGATCAACTGGGAGGAGTTGAAGGGTTGTTGAGACAGGCTGGGCTGTGGGGGGCCCAAGCAGAGACAATCTGGATAGCAGGGGGGTGTCACTAATGTGTCCATCAGTGTTTGAAGAACGGCGGGAAATGACTCATTGAGCTTTTCTCCATCTGTGGCTTGTTTTGTTTCACAGGGTGACTCTGGGGGCCCCCTGGTGTGTGGGAAAACAGCCCAAGGTGTCGTCTCTTGGGGGCCTGTCAATGGGAGCCCCCCAGGGGTCTACGCGAGAGTCTCCACCTTCATCCCCTGGATACGGAGGACGATGAGGAGGCTGCAGCCCTGAGCCCGATGGGAATTGCTGCAGGGGCAGGAGCTGCACCACTTCTGTTCTTTGCATGGCCCAGATCAAGTGGCTGCTTTGCAGAGGGCTAAGTCCCCCGAGGCTGATCTCCCCCACCCTAGACATCGCTTCTCTCAGGCAGTGCCCAACCCATGAGTATAAAGGCAGGGAGTCTCGGGGAGTTAGGAGCCATGTTCAATTCCAACTCCCTCAGCTCCCTTGGCAATCCCAACCCAGGCCCTTAGGCTGCGTCTTCACTCGGGAAACAGCTGGTTTATTTCCCCCGGGGTAACAGACACAGGCCAAACCCTGGAACAGACACGGCAGTTTGTAGCTCTCCCCTATATCAACCAGTCGAGTGACCGTTTATGGGAGATCCTTGTCATTACCTGACCTGCTAACTCCTGTTAAAACTGCAGCCTGCCCTGTCCTCACTGGGCCTTTTCCACATGTTATTTCCCCCGGGGTAGCCACCGCCCATTCCAAAGACACCTGTTCCCAACGCTGACAAAGAGAGCGGGAGTTTGTTCATGGGAAGGGAAATTAGGAAATTATGCACTGAATTGATGTAAGCTGAAATGACAGCTCTGAGCGCCTCCCTCTAACCTCCGCTGCCCTGCCTTGCCGCGCGGCATGGTGCATTTTCCTCGCTGCTTCTTACCCAGCAATGAATAAAAATGAAGTTGCAAAACAATGAAGTGGTGCCTTCCTGGTAATTGAATGAATGCCCCCAGCCTCAGACTCCCAGCTAACTTGTACCTAGCAGGTGTAACTAGGGTTTTGGGCCTGGTGGGGAATTTACCCCCTGGGTTTGAGTAATTCATGCCGGATCTGCTAGAAAGACAAGGGAAATCACAAGTGAAAAAGCAAATCACGGTGTGTGTTGTCAGCTCTCCTGACTCTGGTATCCCACCGCTGACACTTAGGCCAGCTCGCTGACAACAGGAGTGCACTTTAGGCCCACTGGAGGAGAAATCGGTACCAGGGTATTCTTAATTTCCCTTGTATGTCATTCCTCTTCCACTCTGCACCTGTCTGGGGACAGAGGGGTCACAAACAGCAGGCTGGCCAGTCCCCTCCATCAGACATCTCAGCCCAGATGTCAAGGCCTGATCCCAAGGAGCCTCTATGTGTCTCCCCAGCCCGATTGACACTAATCAGGGGCTATTCAGGCAGGGGGTAAACTCCATTGCTGTTTGCAACTGCTTCCCTGCAAAGAAAATGCATCACAAACCTAGCCCAGTGCAGCAGGGATCCACGGCCCGGACGCGGCTCTGATGCTCTGGGAAGAGATGTCTCAGACTGGGATACCATCTGCCGATGCCTGTTAGTGTCATCTCATTGTTCCCCTTGTTCTTCCCCATCAGCCTGTCTGTAGCCATGTGTTTTCGCCTGCCCTATACCTAGACTGTGAGCAACTGTGGACAGGGGCCATCGCTGTGATTTGTGTTTGTACAGCACCTGGCACAGTGGGGTCCTGGGCCATAGCTGGGAGTCCACCTAGGTGCTACTGTAATACATCTAACAAGTAATGTTCACTGGCAATGGGATCCTTTGCCATGACTGGGTCTTCTAGGTGCTACCATAATACACCTAATAAACACTGTACAGCACCCAGCACAATGCAGCCCTGGTAACCTGACAGTCCTGGACATGCTCAAAGTCTCAGGTTGAATGCCAGAAACCAGAGTCACTTCAGGGTCCCAGCTCAAGCTACCATCAGACCTGCAGGTGTCACAGCGCTGGGCAGTGCAGTAAATGCTGACAAACCAGGGCAGGTACAGGGAGCAAGCTGGGGCACTTAGTGAGCTGGGCCCAGTCACACCCCAGTGGTGAGAATCCAGCCGATGCAGTGTTCTCCATCTCAGCCCCAGGGACACGGACACCTCCCGAGATCCGGGACTGTGTCCTGGAGAACTGGGGCTCAACAAAGGATCTAGGAGGGCTTACAGTGAACAAGCAACACCATGAGCTCCCCATGCACTTCTGGGGCAAAACTGCCCAGAGTCTGGACTGTAAAAACAGGGGCACAGGAGCAGGGAAGGGATTTTGCCTCTCTATGCAGCATTGGTGAGACTAATACCAGCCCTGGGATGGGGGACAGGCTGGCTCAGGGAAATGGGGAATGGACTTGGGGCCTTTCCCCTTGGGGCCTTTCCCCTTGGGGCTGGGCTAGCTCTGATACAGCCTCATGGCAGGCGACTGGCTGGTTCAGGGGGTGCAGAATGAGACATGGAACGTTTCCCCTCTGGATCATCTCTGTGCTGCTATCACTGTTCCAAGCATAAATTTCTTCCCTTCCCCAGCTCTCCTTTTTACGTGGGCTGTGGGTAACACCAATCGCTATCGGAGCTGGGTGAGAAAACACATCTCTGTCCCCCTGTGTGTGAGATAGAGGCAGGTGGCTTTGATCACCCTGATATCAGTGCCCCACCCCGGACATTGTGTAAATGACACCCAAAGTGACACCCCATTGAGTTTATCAACCCCTGACAGGGCTCAGTCCCATCCCCTGTCCACGGGGTCCCTGGCCTGTCAGGGGAGGTGTTGTCCCCCTATGGGGCTTCATACACAAAGAACCAGGAGCATCACTGGTCCAGTCATTCCTGCATCCCACCTTTTCAGGCAGGGCCGGCTCCAGGCACCAGGCAACCAAGCACATGTTTGGGGCGGCACCTGGTAAGGGGCGGCCAATCTTGGGGTGGCGTGGGACAGCGCGGCGCGGTGCGGCATTCCGCGCGGGGGGCGCAACAGTGGCGCGGCGCTTGGCGGGGGGGGGCTCGGCGGGGCGGCGCTTTTTTTGGGTGCTTGGGGCAGCAAAAAAGTTAGAGCTGGCCCTGTTTTCAGGGACCAAACATGGATGCTCCCAGCCAACCCCTCTGCTGGCCCTGAGTCAGGTCGGTGACCCCTACTGTAGCTACCAGTAGGGTACAGACAGCAGGTGGGTCCTTCAATGGTAGGGTGGGACCTGGATCTAGAATGGATGTACAGGGGTGTGCATTGATCTAGAAGGGATCCACAGGTCGCTATGTGGGTTTGGATAGATCTAAAATGAAACAGCATCAACTGAAGTGAATCTAGCATGAATTTAAATGGAGTTAATTGGGTATTCATGCATGTATATTGATTTTGAATGTATCTAGAGAGGTTCTGGAATTGTTCTAGATAGTGACACTGATATCTGGATGGACAGATCCCACCCCTCATTCATCAGATATAGCAATTCCAAGAGAGGGATCCAGAGCCAAATAATGGAAGAGCTGAGATTGGATCTATCAATAGGCAGATACTAAAAGATGGAAACAGAGTTAATGCCAGTCAGCGTGAGATCATGGAGAATAGTCCATGTTCAATGACCATATTGTCATTTCTGAGCAACATTAAAAGTCTGGTTCATTAAAGTGATTGTGCTGATGTAATGATATATATGTGGATTCCCGTAGGGAGTTTGCCCAAATACCACACAACATTCAAATTGAGAAATTAGCTCTCTAAAAACTCAACATGTCTCAAACTGGGCTAACTGATTCTCCTCAAAATATGATTATCAATGGGGAATCAGCATCCACTGGGGTGTTGCTGGTGTGCCCCGCAAAGGTCTGTTCTGGGCCTGAGGTTATTCAGTATCTGTATCAATGATCTGGAAGTTCACGTAAAATTGTTGCTGGCAAAGTCTGCAGAGAACACAAAGCCCTGGTCTACACTACGAGTTTAGGTCGAATTTAGCAGCATTAGATTGATTTAACCCTGCATCCGTCCACACGACGAAGCCATTTTTGTTGACTTAAAGGGCTCTTAAAATCGATTTTGGTACATCTCCCTGACAAGGGGATTAGCTCTGAAATCAACCTCACTGGGTCGAATTTGGGGTAGTGTGGATGCAATTCGACGGTATTGATATCTGGGAGCTATCCCAGAGTGCTCCATTGTGACCACTGTGGACAGCACTCTCAACTCAGATGTACTGGCCATGTAGACAGGAAAAGCCCCGCAAACTTTTGAATTTCATTTCCTGTTTGGCCAGCGTGGCGAGCTCAGAGGTGACCATGAAGATCTCATCACCAGAGGTGACCATGGAGTCACAGAATCGCAAAAGAGCTCCAGCATGGACCAAACGGGAGGTACTGGATCTGATCACTGTATGGGGAGAGAAATCCGTGCTATCAGAACTCTGTTCCAAAAGACGAAATGCCGGAATATTTGAAAAAATCTCCAAGGGCATGAAGGACAGAGGCTATAACAGGGACCTGCAGCAGTGCCTCATGAAACTTAAGGTACTGAGGCAAGCCTACCAAAGAACCAGAGAGGCAAACGGCCGCTCTGGGTCAGAGCCCCAGACATGCTGCTTCTTTGATGAGCTGCATGCCATTCTAGGGGGTTCCTCTACAACTACCCCACCCCTGCGTGTGGACTCCATCAATGGATTCTCACGCAACAGGGATGCGGATTTTGGAGAGGAGGAAGATGATGAGGAGGAGGAGGTTGAAGATAACGCACAGCAAGCAAGCGGAGAAACCGTTTTCCCCGACAGCCAGGAACTGTTTCTCATCCTGGATCCAGTACCCTCCCAGCCCACCCAAGGTGGGCTCCAGGACCTTGAAGGCAGAGAAGGGACCTCTGGTGAGTGTGCCTTTGTAAATATAATACATGGTTTAAAAGCAAGCGTGTTTAATGATTAATTTGCCCTGAAGACTTGGGATGCATTCGCGGCCAGTACAGCTAGTGGAAAAGTCTGTTAACGTGTATGGGGGTGGAACGGAAATCCTCCAGGGACATCTCAATGACGCTCCCCTGGATGTACTCCCAAAGCCTTTGCAAAAGGTTTCTGGGGAGGGCAGCCTTATTCCGTCCTCCATGGTAGGACACTTTACCACGCCAGGCCAGTAGCACGTAGTCTGGAATCATTGCATAACAAAGCATGGCAGCGTATGGTCCCAGTATTTACTGTCATTCAAGCAACATCTGTTCTTTATCACTCTGTGTTATCCTCAGGAGAGTGATATCATTCATGGTCACCTGGTTGAAACAGGGGAATTTTATTAAGGGGACATTCAGAGGTGGCCGTTCCTGCTGGGCTGTTTGCCTGTGGCTGAACAGAAACCACCCCAATGTTAGCCACGCAGTGGGGGGAGGGGTGAAGTGATCATCCCAGAGAATTGTGTGTGTGTGTGTGGGGTGGGATTAAGTTGGGTTTGTGCTGCACATTAACCCAAAAACTGCAACCCCTCCTTTTAAATGGTCAACCCATTTTTAATGGCCAACCCAATGGGTGCTTGGTATGGGAAATGAGGGTGCTGCTGTTTGAAACCATTCCCACATGTTATGAAGGTTAAAGAAGCCAAAAGACTGTGGCTTACTAAAGCTGCCTGCAAGCCGAATTCTGTTGCCCGCTGGCCCTGCGTGTGTGATCTTTCACACCAAACCCACAGGCCCTCAATATAAGAGGCAAAATACGACCTTGTAAAGAAAGGACACATGCTATGTAATGTTAACAGCTTGGTTCACCGTTAAAGAGTCTACCCATTGTTCTCTACAATGTGCCTTTTTAAATACTGCTCTCCCTTATTTTCCTCCCGCAGCTGCAAATGTTTCAACGCTCCCCCATCATCTCCGTCCCAGAGGCTAGCGAAGAGTAGAAGGCGAAAAAAAATGCACTCACGATGAAATGTTCTCTGAGCTCATGCAGTCCTCCCACACTGAAAGAGCCCAGCAGAATGCGTGGAGGCAGACAATGTCAGAGTACAGGAAAGCACAAAATGAACGTGAGGACAGGAGAGACACGCGAGAGGACAGGTGGCGGGAGAAAGAGGAAAGGTGGCGTCAGCATGATGAGAGGTGGCAGGAAGCAATGCTGAGGCTACTGGAGGTTGAGGTGCAGGAAAGGCAGCAGGAGCACAAACCGCTGCTGCAGCCCGTGTGTAACCAACCGCCCTCCTCCCCAAGTTCCATAGCCTCCTCACCCAGACACCCAAGAATGCGGTGCGGGGGCCTCCGGGCACCCAACCACTCCACCCCAAAGGATTGCCCAAGCAACAGAAAGCTGGCATTCAATAAGTTTTGAAGTGCAGTGTGGCCTTGTCCTTCCCTCCTCCCCTCCTCCACCACCCCACCCAGTGCTTCCCTCCTCCCCCACCCCTCCTGGGCTACCTTGGCAGTTATCCCCCATTTGTGTGATGAATTAATAAAGAATGCATGAATTTGAAACAACAATGAATTTATTGCCTCTGCAAGCGGTGATCAAAGTGGGGAGAGGAGGGCGGTTGGCTTACAGGGAAGTAGAGTGAACCAAGGGGGCGGGTTTTCATCAAGGAGAAACAAACAGAACTTCCACACCGTAGCCTGTCCAGTCATGAAACTGGTTTTCAAAGCTTCTCTGATGCGCAGCGCACCCTGCTGGGCTCTTCTAACCGCCCTGGTGTCTGGCTGCGCATAATCAGAGGCCAGGCGATTTGCCTCAACCTCCTACCCCACCATAAAGGTCTCCCCCTCACTCTCACAAATATTGTGGAGCACACAGCAAGTAGTAATAATGATGGGAATATTGGTTTCGCTGAGGTCTAACCGAGTCAGTAAACTGCGCCAGCGTGCTTTTAAACATCCAAATGCACATTCTACCACCATTCTGCACTTGCTCAGCCTATAGCTGAACTGCTCCTTACTACTGTCCAGTCTTCATGAGCCATGGGAGCAAGGGGTAGGCTGGGGTAGGTGCAACCATGCGGTGCTGCTGGCTGGGAGAGCAGCCTGAGGCTGAAGCCTCCAGTTCGCATGATATTCCAGGCAGGACTGAATCTCCATGAGACGAAACTTAAAGAAGAGAATGACCAGGAGTCACTCCCATTTATGTCCAGGTGCCCCTGACCGACCTCACTGAGGTCTGCCAGAAGCACCCATATCTGCCCAGGCGCCCCTGACCGACCTCACCGAGGTCGGCCAGGAGCACCCAGGAGACGACAACGACAGCTAGCAGTCAGACTGCACCATCTGCTGCCATGAAGGCAAGGAGCTGCTGCTGTGTAGCAATGCAGTACCGCATCTGCCAGAAGCACCCAGGAGACGTACGGTGATGGTGAGCTGAGCTGGCTCCATGCTTGCCGCGGTATGTCGTCTGCACGGGTAACCCAGGAAAAAAAGTGAGAAACGATTGTTTGCCGTTGCTTTCACGGAGGTAGGGAGGGAGAGGGGCCTGACAACATGTACCCAAAACGCCCGCGACAATGTTTTTGCCCCATCAGGCATTGGGAGCTCAACCCAGAATTCCAGAGGGCAGTGGAGACTGCGGGAACTGTGGGATAGTTACCCACAGTGCAATGCTCCGAAAGTCGATGCTAGCCTCTGTACTGTGGACGCACTCCGCCAACTTAATGCACTTAGTGGGGACACACACAATCAACTGTATCAAATCGATTTCTAAAAAATCGACTTCTATAAAATCGACCTAATTTTGTAGTGTAGACATACCCAAATTGTTAGGGTGGAGGACATCTCCAAGCTACAGAGCTTTCTGGGTCACCTGGTGAGTTGGGCTCAATTAGACCTGCACATGAATGCAGCCAAATGTAGGGTTTGACATCGAGGGACAAGGGATGTCATTCAGGCTGGCAGGATGGGAGCTGTGTCCTGGAGAGCAGGGACTATGAAAGGGAGCATGGTGGAACCCATCCAAACAAGAGATTTCAGTGGAATGCTGGATCTAAGCAGGCAGATACCATCCTTGGGTGTATAAACCAGGGGATAATGAGTAGCAGCAAGGAGGTAGAGTCACCTCTGGATTCGGCCCTTTTGGGATCATGATGGGAGATCTTGTCCAGCTGTAATGTCCACACCTCTAGCAGGACTTTGGCAAATTGGAAAGAGCTACAAGAACAAGCTGGTGGGGCGAGCTCCACGGAGAGTGACCTCTGGGGTTTTCGAGGTGAAGAGGGGACTTGACCCCCTCTGTAGGAACATCCATGGGGCGGGGTTTCTGAGATGAGGGCACTCTTCAACCTCTCTGATCAAGGCAGGACAAGACCCGATGGCCAGGAGCTGCAGCCAGGGGAACAACTGACCCAGGGCCATAGTGGAGGCAGGAGATGCTGGGTGGGTTCTGGTTCTGGGGTGTCCACCAGGGGGTCAGGTTGGAAGGTCACAATGGTTCCTCCAGGCCTTGAAAACTATGGGTCTGGGTATCTAGGTGCAGAGAAGCACAAGGATCTTTCTTACACCTGTAGTAGGGAGGGGGCAGAGTTAACCACATCTGCAGCCATCCCGGGGGGGCACCAGAGCAGGAAGGAAACCCCCTGCCCTGATGCGGGCACAGCTGTGCCTGGAGGCTTCGCCAATCGGTGTCTCCACCCCTGGGCCATCCGGGGTGGGAGTTTCCAGGAAGTAGGGTACACGTCCCTGTGGTTGCCAGGCCATGCCCTCCCCTCCCCTCCCCCCGCCTTGTTCATATAACCCCCAGGGCTCAGACAGAGGCTCCGTGCCCATCCCTGGATGTCTCTGACAATGCAGCTCTTGATATTGGTTCTGCTTCCCGTGGCCTTTCTCCTTCCTTCTGGGTCTCAGGCTGGTGAGTTGGGGGGTGGGGGGAATCAGGGCCCGTGGGGAACAGGACCCTCACTCCTTATGGGGAGCTGTGGGCAGCGTTTGAGGTCTCCCCCTTGCTCCTGCTGGGGCCAAGCACCTGTATCGAACCCTGCATCCTCTCCTGAGTGCGGCTGGGGCTCTCACAGCAGCACGAGGGGTTGGGTGGCCAAGACCCCACAGGCTCCTTTGGGACCCCACTGCCAATCAGTGTCCTAGACAGGGAGGTCGGCCATGGGGCTAGGCCACTGGGCTGGGACCCAAGAAATCTGGGACCAGTTTCCAGATCTGCCCAGGATCTCTGTGGACAGGGATTTGTATGGATTGAGGATGGTCACCGAAATCCCTTAGGCAGGTTTACAAACAATCTCTCTGGGCCTCAGTTTCCCTATCTGTACAATGTGAAGAATAATTCAGCTTGTGTATGGACGCTGTCTGGGTCAATGAAAGGCCTGGAGCAAGGGAGCCCCTGATTTCAGTTAGTTTCTGCGCAGCCCCTGGCATAATAGGGGCCCGGATCTCAGTCTACGTGCCATCCTCATGCAAATAACAGCAATTTGTTAAAGGTGGGATTTTCCAACACCCTGCTCCCCCCTCCCCCACCCCCGACCTGCGTGGAGACTTCTTCAGAGGTGATCAAAAAACATTTTTTATTTTCCACGGTAAAAAACCCCAAAGCGGTACTTTTAAATTTTCACCTAAATATTATCCACCATTGGGGGGGTGGGGGGAAGAATCAGTTTCACCACAGTAATTCAGACAGGTTTGAGACAAAGCTTTCTGAGAAAAAATTAGACTCGTAAAAAGTTTGGCAGGTCAGTCTGGGAGCAGCCCTGGCTGATCAATGTGGACTGAGGGAGAAGGAGAATCCACAAGACACCTGTCAGTGCCCTTCCAGGGGCTCTCTGGCCTAATCTGGGGTGACTTTGGCCTCCAAAACTGTTACCTCCAGCCAGTGTGATTACTGACCCACTCCTGGTGCGTTTGGCACCGATTCTCCACACAGCGAGGTCAGAGCTTTAGATTTACCCTCCAGTCCCATGGGGTGTCCAGTCTGGGGGAGAGCTGAGAAGGGGCCAGGGCTCTAGGTACAGGGATCCCGCAAAGAGAGCATCACAGGGGATGGGTTGAGGCTGTGGGGACTCCCCTTTGGGATGAGGAGCTCGGTCCCAACTCAGCCCAAGGAGATGATGGGACTTTTTATAAGAACCTGGTCTCACCCCAGGTGAGATCATCCGAGGCTGGAAAGCCCAGCCCCACTTCAGACCCTACATGGCCTATCTGGAAATACAAAGCAGAGACAAGAGGTCTTGCTGTGGAGGGTTCCTGGTGGCGGAGAACTTCGTGCTGACGGCCACTCACTGCAACGGAGAGTAAGCGCCTCTGTGTTGGGGATGTCGGGGCAGGTCGGGCGTTAGCAGGTGATGGGGCAGCTGGGAGCTCTGGTGCCGTTGTAGGTTGCAGGGAAGGAGCAGTGAGTGTGATAGGCTGGGAGAGCGGAGCCCAGGGGTCTGATATGCTCAGGGGGCATTCGTGTGTCTCTAGGGGCCTCTACAAACCATGGTCCAGATCCAACTCTGGGTAAATCAATGGGGCTATGGCCATTGACAACATCTGGGGTCTAGCCTCATTGACACCAATGGAGCTACATCCCATTGACACCAGCTGGGTTCTCGTCCACTGTCCCGATTGGGGCAGGGAGGGGGTCACAGCCACAGGAGAGTTCTGCAGGGCTCTGGGGTGGGGGCAACTGGGCCATAGACCCCTGTCTGGATCTAGCTGGGAGGGGTCCCCTGGCTGGAGGGGAGCTGAGGCCCAGGGGACAAGGGGAATGAAGGCCTCTGAGATCAGTGCCTGAGCAATCCATGCTGCCCTGTCCCCATAAGATCAGTACTGATGTCAGAACACGGGCCCATCCCCCACCTCAGTACACTCCTGCCCCAAATGCCCATGTATTACTCTTGGCTTCTACAGCATGATCACTGTGTACCTGGGAGCCCATAGCATTAAACAACAGGAACAGAGCCAACAGAAAATCTCTGTGCGCCGCCATATATCCCATCGTCAATTCAGCAGAGAGACCCGTAATAATGACATCATGTTGCTGCAGGTACCGCCCCCATCCCATCACCCCGCCCCCAGTGTCTCCATGGACATACATTGGCTGTAGTTTCTCTCTCCTTGGATTCCCTCCCTACCCGTCATCAGCTCTGACCTTCATATTCACCCTGGTGCTTGTGTCGTCTCTTGTTTGTAGCTGGAGCACAAGGCAGAGCTCAATGAACAGGTGAGGTTCATCCGTCTCCCCGCGGCTCATTGGCGAGTGCAACCAGGGACCGTGTGCAGTGTCATCGGCTGGGGCCGCACAAGCGCACCCAGTAAGGGGCTCTCCAGGACCCTCCGGGAGGTGGATTTGAAGGTGCTGGACGATGAGGCCTGTCTGAACTATCCTGGTGGGATATATCGTAAATATAAAACCATCACGATCATGTGTATGGGGGACCCAAAGGAGCACAAAGCCTCTTTCAAGGTGAAACTCCCAAGCTTCCTTGATAAATCGTTATTATTAATGAGGCTCCTGGTGTTGTGGTTGGGCCCACAAGCAAAGATCTGAGATCAGGTCCTGCTGAGCTAAGTGCTGTACAAACCAATGGGCAAATATCTGATCTTTTCTCGGAGGGGGGGAGAGATTGACTGGGAGGAGTTGGGGGTTTGCTGAGACAGGCTGGGCTGTGGGGGGCACAAGAAGAGACCATCTGGATAGCGGGGGGGGTCACTAATGTGTCCATCAGTGTTTGAAGAATGGCTGGAAATGACTCACTGAGCTTTTCTCCATCTGTGGCTTGTTTTGTTTCACAGGGTGACTCTGGTGGCCCCCTGGTGTGTGGGAAAACAGCCCAGGGCATCGTCTCTTGGGGGCCTGTCAATGGGAGCCCCCCAAGGGTCTGCACAAGAGTCTCCATCTTCATACCCTAGATATGGGCCACGATGAGGAGGCTGCAGCCCTGAGCCAAGCCGGGAATAGCTGTGTGGGCCGGAGCTGCGTCGCTTCTGTCCTTTGGTGACGCACAGATGTAGGGCCTTGTCATAACTATAAAGGGAAGGGTGGCAGCTCTCCTGTGTACAGAGAATCCAAATCCTTTTACCTGTAAAGGGTTAAGAAGCTCGGGTAACCTGGCTGACACCTGACCCTAAGGACCAATAAGGGGACAAGATACTTTCAAATCTTGGGGGGGGAAAGGCTTTTGTTTTGTGTCCTTTGTTTAAGGGGTTGTTCGCTCTTGGGACTGAGAGGGACCAGACATCAATCCAGGTTCTCCCCATCTTTCTAAACAAGTCTCTCTTATTTCAAAATTGTAAGTAAAAGCCAGGCAAGGCGTCTTAGATTTACTTTGTTTTCTCAACTTGTAAATGTACCTTTTACCAGAGTGTTTATCTTTGTTTGCTGTACTTTGAACCTAAGACAGAGGGGGGTCCTCTGAGCTCTTTAAGTTTGATTACCTTGTAAAGTTATTTTCCATACTGATTCTACAGAGATGATTTTTACCTTTTTCTTTAATTAAAAGTCTTCTTTTTAAGAACCAGATTGATTTCTCCTTGTTTTAAGATCCAAGGGGGTTTGGATCTGTATTCACC